GTAGAAGTATCTAATTTCCCCATCGATTTTGAAAGATAATTTTGCAGGATACAACAGTCTAGGTTGGAAGTTATTTTCTTTTAGGGCTTGAACTACTTCACTCCAGGCTCTCTTTGACTTGAGGGTTTGTGTTGAGAAGTGTATTGTGGTTCTGATAGGCTTTCCTTTGTAGGTGATTTGTTTCTTTTCTCTAACTGCTTGTAGAATTTTGTTCCTCTGTTGGGTTTCTGGGATGTTGACTATTATATGTCTAGGTGTAGATTTTTTTTGATCATGGCTAGTTGGAGTTCTATATGCCTCACTTATCTGTATGTCCAATTCTCTACCTCTGTCTGGGAAGTTTTCAACAATTACTTCTGTGAACAGTTTTTTTTATGTCAATTGTGCTTTCTCCTGTTTTTTTGTGGACATCTATCAATCTTATTTTATTCTTCTTTGCATCATCTAGCAGCTGCTGGATTGATTTCTCGTGATCCCTCACTATTTTTAAGAAATCTCTGTTTTAATGGTCATTAACTGCAATCCTGTCTTCTATATCGGATATTCTATCTTCACATTCCCTTAATCTGCTGTGCATACTTTCAATGGAGTTTTCAATCTCCTGGATATCTGTTTGAATCTGTTTCATGGATTCTATTTCTTTCTTATGCTGGGCATTCATGGCTCCCAGCATGTTTCTGAGCTCATCTATTTTTTTTTATCTGTTTCTGTTCTAGAGTCCCTAATCATGTCTTTCACTCTACTCACCATCTCTGTAGTTATAGGAGATTATTTCTGTTTTGAATTTTTCTAGGGCCTCATTCATCTGTTTTGTTACTTCCTGTCCTATCAGTCCAGGGTGACCAGATGGTTGATTATCAGACGTTTCCACCTCGTTTCCTCCAGAATTTACCCTTGGTGGGGTGGAAGTCTGAATTTGTTTCTTGCTTGAATGTCTTCTCATTTTTGTTTTTAGTACTGTCCTTGGTTTAATTCCTGGGTTGATACTTTGAAATTTCTTATTGTAAGTGTCTTTGTTGCTTGTAATTAGAACCCTTATGGAATGATTGCTTCTCAGAGGTGTCTTCCAGATATAGCTGGTCTTTAGGTTTTGAGTCTCTAATGACTCTGAGGCTGTCTCATTTTCATTATACCAGGAAGGACAACTGATTAGATCAATCAGAACTCCTTAGCCCAAGTGATACAATCAGCAACACCATAACATCAAGTATATCTTAGAAAATGACAATTTGTGAAAGTTATTAATCTATCACCTTTAACTGTGTGAATTAAATCAAAATCGAGGACCAACCCAACATATGTTTATAGTGAATAAATTCTTCAATATAGCAACTTTACCCTTTGGGATGGGGAATTAGAAAGAGTTGGGGAGGGAGGGATAGATAGGTAGAAGGATAGGGGAAGGTTAGCAGTGAGGCCAGAGGATACAGGCAAGAGAAGAAAAAGAGAATAAAAGAAAAATAAAGAAGAAATCCAAAATAGGGCCAGAACAGGAACAAAAAGGGAGATGGAGAACAATGTGGGACAGCAAGAGAGCAAGTGTGTGAGAGAGAGAAAGGAAAGAGAAAAGAAAGAAAAAAAAGAAGAGAAAAATAAAAATTTGAAAAGAGTAGAAAAAAAAAAGCCAAAAAACTCAATAATAATAATTTTGAAAATAACAAAAAATGAAAATGAAGGACCTCCTTCAGGGTATGTCTCTGCTGTCACAATAGACAACGTGGGCAGCAGTGTGCAGATATAAGTCAGTGAGTCTCAGCAAGCCAGTCACAGACCCGTGGGATTCAGGCAAATTTCTGGTGGCAAGTCCCAAGTTGAGCTCCCTGTCCTCATATAGAACTCTGCAAGGTTGTACTGCAGGTTCCATCTGCCCTTCCTCTGAAGATAGTCCAGGTTCTGATGGTAAGTGATGATCCCTCCAACTTACCCAGTACAGTGGTGTGGTGTTTTCTGTGTCTTTCTAGTGTGGAACCAGGTAGCAGTACAGCCAGGAGGCCAGAGGGGGGGGAGGCGGGGAGCGGAACGCCGCCATGGGCGTGGCCAGTGGGGAGAAGTCCTCGTTAACTTTCTGTCTGGTCCCCGCCTGTGTGCATGGAGCGCCTGTGTGCATGGAGCGGGTTGGATGGAGGGGGGGTTCTGGCGGCCTGGGACCTTGGGCTCTCCCTCGTTACCCTTAATTTGAATTAAAGATTGCACTAGGAAGAAATATAAAACCCCTTGAGACTAGAGCCTTTTAGGGCCTACTATCAGGGCATACGCACAGTAAATGAGCCATGCATTTTTCTTCTATCAAATTACAATAGGATTTATTAATCTTATGTCAATACACTGTCCATTAAATTTCACCCAACAAGTTGGAGATAGCCACAAGTACTTTGATCTGTAGTGAGAAAAAAGAATCATTTTTCCAAGGAAAGAACAAAAAGATTGTACATCATTTGGAGAACTATTTCATCTATGTTCAAACTCAGATGTAGGTATATCTCTGATAGTATCTATTTATGCTCTTGTGTAAGTTCAGCATGAAAGAAGTTCATATACAACACATTAACAATAGCTTCTTTTTGGACAATAAATGCTTTTTCCTTTAAAAAAAAATTGGGCAAACTTAAATTAGTACTCAAAAATTTAAGTTGTTATCATTCTTATATTTCTTTTATTTGGATTTAAATGTTACTTATCATTATTTGATTGTTTGATTTAAATATTACTTAATTCTTTAAATTCATTTATTATTAAGGAAAAGAAAATATCCAGGCCTGCCAACTTAGCCACAATCAATCCTGGGAATATGATTTATACTTCATCTTTGCTCTTAAGGAAGTGCCTCCTAAACACTCTTTGAATTTTGCATCCATTTCTTGGCTCTGAGCTTCACTGAACCAGTTTTTCCAGTCACCAACTTCACCTACAACACATAAAGCAGAGTAGACCCAGACATCTGTTAGAATATTTCTTCTTGGGCCAGGGATGTAGCTCAGTGGTAACGTGCCTGCCTGGCAATCACGTTCAATTCCTGGTACCCATCCCCCCAAAAGAATATTTCTTCTTGATTTTACCAGCCTCCCCCAATTTTACCCTTTTTTGGGTGCAATATTTCACTTTTAAGTATGAGAATGGACACATAAAAATTTGTCTTAACTTCCCCTCACCCAACACAAGCAAGCAGGTCCACACGAGGCACTTAGTACCTCCCAACACAAGGGCACGACCATCCACCAACTCCGAGCCAGCTCTACATTTTGTTTCCCCTTGGCATGGGGCAGCAGAGAACTGGAAGGACCAACTGACTTGATCCTAGATGAGGACGTCTGGGGAGAAAAGGTAAACCTAGAAAGCCAGCAAACTCAGGGAGAAAGTACAGACCTGGCCAGTGACTCCAAGGACTCCAGTGTTACCCTCACAAAGTGATGGGGTGGGAGACAACCACAGGAGACTACTGAAGAGAGGGAGTGAGCCAGGCATAGAGTCTGACCCCATACCCCAAGAAGTGTAAGCTCAGGCTGGAAAGGACATGGCCCTGCACTTAGTAGGGAGAAACTAGACCCCATGTGTGTTGACGTTAAGTGCAAAAGTCAGCTTGAACCCAAGCCCTGTGGCCTATATCCAGCAGAGACCAGAGGGTTCATTGAGTTTGCCATCTATGTGAGCAAGGACATGTCTTGGCTTAAATGGTGACCACAGTGTGGGGTGAATGGACTGAGGGCCTATGATACAGGAGGGAATCTCAAAAACCCATATGCCCTAAAGTTAGATGGAAAAATAGTGATGGGCTAGATTCCAAGTCTGCAGATCCTGGAAAGAAACTACTCATTCAGAAACATAGAGGAATTTTTTCTCTGACTCAATCCTTTTTTAATTTTAAAAAATTATTCTTTTCTTTCCTTCATTAGGTTTTTTTGGGTTGGGGGGTTTTCTCCTTTTGACCTTTTTTCTCCTTTAGTTTCTTTTCTCTTTTCCCCTTTCAACTGTTTTCTCTTTCTTCTTAATCATTCTCTTATTTACTATATTTTGCTCTTTTTCTTTTTTCTTCATTTTCTTGTTTGCACTTTCCTTCAACTGTTTTCTAAAACTATTAGTTTCCTCTTACTCCTCAATAAGACCCCCTACCTCACTTTTCTGTCCTTCTCATATCCCACTGATTAATTTTAAAAATTTTACTTTTCTCATTCTCCAGCTTTCCACCCTCTCTACCTTTCCTACTATACCTACTAAACTTTATGAATCTCTAGACAGCTAGTTAACTTCATGCTATTACTATTGAATACTGTTTTATTTTAGTAGAGGCAAAGTTGCTCCATTTAGTAGATCTTTACTGTAGGTCAATATTTTGTTTGTTTTAGTGCTCATACTATAATTATAGATCTTTTTTCTATGCTTAAATGTGGTACATTACTGGTCCTTAGGGTTTATCAGCATTCTATACTGTAACTATACTATAACTGATGCTGATTCATTACAATAGTCACGGTGACATAGTTGTTGCTATTAATTGGTTTTCTTGGGATGCCAATATCTACTGCCTTGGGACCATTAACAATACTGCAGCCCATTCCTGAAGAAGTGGGTGCTAGGCAAATACACTGCAACTTTTCATGCCAAGTAAACAGAGGTTGTTGAATCCTGGGACAGAAGCAAAGGCTGATAGTAAGCCATGCCCAGATGACACCACTGAAAAATAGGTATTAACTAAAGTGGTCTCCATAAGCTTTTCACTATAATCAATCCCAAAGCTTCAACACACACATGCACACAACAACAGCAACAACAACAACAACAACAAGAAAGATGAGAACACAGGGCAAAAAAGTACCTCCAAAACCTCTCAACTCCCCTAAAGCTGATCCATGAGGAATCAAAAGGGAGAAAACCAAAGGCCACATAGCCAAATTGTTAGAAATGATATCAGAGGGGAAATCAAAAAAGATCAAGAAGGGATTTGGCAAGCACATAGAAGATATAAGTAAACAGATAATGGGCCAAATAAACAAAATAATTAACAAGTCTACAGAAGACACTAATAAAAAGCTAGCAGAGCCATACAAAATAAAGCAAAACATGAATGTCCAGCATAGAAGAGAATTAAAGGCTCAAAAAAGAAGTTTGGGAGATTAAAAATTCTACCAAGAGTATGGAGAGCAGAAGTGACCAATGTGAGGACAGAGTGTCAGAACTAGAAAATAGGACTGTTATCAGTGACAAGTTAATGAGAGACACCTTAGAAACAAGAGACATGAAAAAGAGATCCAACAGCTCCGACATGATACAAAGAAAACTAATGTAAGATTTAATTGGAATTACTGAAAAATCAGTAGACAGTATAAATGCCATAAAAAACTGTTTGCTAAAATAATAGCAGAAAATTTTCCAAATAAAGGAAAATAACCTAGCATACAGATAATTGAGGCATATAGAACTCCAAAAAAACAACAATCAGAAAAGATTGTTGATGTGTCATAGTCACACGACACATCATAGACAAAATCCTGGAAGTCCAGCACAAGAACAGAATTTTAAAAGCAATTAGAGAAAAGCAACAAATCACTTATGAAGGTAAACCCATTGGAATTACAGCAGATTTCTCAACACAAACCTCAAAGATAAGGAGAGCTTGAAGTGACATGTTTGGTTTTTTTTTGTTAAATTCTTTTATTGGTACATTGTAGGTATACAACACAATTACATTTCTCATTGGGAATTGTACCTTTACATAATGCATCTTGGTTCTTA